TGTCAAGAGACATTTTTGAAACTAAAGCTAACAAGGATTATAAAGTTTGTCCAATGAATTACACAAATCTCTGGGACAAATCATCTGACCAGATTTGTTATTGTTTTCATCCCTCTCAACACTAGATGTCTTTGAAGAATAATATGTTATAAAGCCTTGACTCCTAGAGATTTGCTTTTCAGATATGGCTGAACACTATACACAAAATAAGTTTAAAACTTAAATTCCAGCTGCTCCTCACATAAAGTTGTCATAGGATTTCAGAAGACACAAGTTGTATAAACTACCTTTGATGATTTATGAGCATGTTTTTTGTATCATGTTTAACGCTTGAAAGCTTTTGTAATTTTTGTAATTGTGAGGTAATCCTTTAACTACAGATGTTGTTTTGACTCATAATTTGAAAACCACTCTTCTAAAGAAGTGAAAAATAGAAAACCCATTGTTCGGACAATTTTTATTTTAGGACTACAAACTGAACACTGTTTCAGTGTTTTCTGATCTTTGTACAGATCAGCTCATTTAGTACTTTGACTAATGGTGTCCATAAATGGAAAAGGATGTGAATATCTATTGACAATCTACCCATATTTATTTCCACAATCAAACAATGATGGTAGTTATAAAGGGGTGATTTTGGTAAAGTTACTGAAAGCACAGACAGTGCTACTTTTAAACAGTTTTATTTATTTTCCATGAGTTCCAAACACTCGGTAGAAAATCAGGCCTTGAGAACTGAGACTTGTTTCAGTCATCAAGCTCTAAATAAAATTATTTACAACCAATAAATTAATTTAAGGTGCATGCATCCCAGTGAATGGAAACCCAGTTTTAAATACTCCTAAAAAGAAATTTAATTTGACTACTGATTCTGTGAAGCTGACTAAAAATAATTACTCTCAATTCTAAGGTGTGTTGTCGATCTACAGCTAGACCTTCATTGCTGGGTTATGTTGACACTTTCTGGGGAGCATACAGAGCAAGGACAGTTCTCACAAATAGTTCAAAACTATCTAAACACAGATTATACAGCTAAGCTCCCTACAAGACTCCACCAAATGCAATGTCATAGTATTAAGGCAAAAAAAATATTTTGAAGACTGTTTAAGACCCAGATTATGTTGAGCGAAATTTCCCATTTTTATTTGTGTACTGAGAAATATGTTAACCATACAAACATACACTAATGCATTACATGTAAATATTTACTTCACCTTTGGCCTTTAAAATATTTATTTCACCTTTGGAGTTCGCCTGCCCATCCAGTCTATTATTGTTAATGGTAACTAACTTGGCTTGCTGTCCTCAATGGAGACTCGAACCCGAGGCTTGATTTGAGCTCCGAGTTCAACCCCCCAATAGATCATTTAGATTACTTCATAGATCTCCTTCAGGTCAACATATTCCTGTTGTCACTCTCTGATGTCATATCTCAAACATCATCAGTGTGCAGTTCAGGGGGCTTGACTGTAAATTCATTATTTACTGGAAAATTGCACTGGATTCTATGGGTGTTTTTAGTAAACAAATATCCTAACCACAGAGCAAGGGTGGAATGAGCGGTAAAAAGCTGATGACATAAGATAAGAGCAGTAAAAAAGACTCAACATAATGAAGGCTCTCATTATGGGATAGACTGACAGGTTAACCCACTGTTCTCCACTGGTTTTGCTTCCAATTTTATATTGGACATAAAGTTTTATAATATAAAAGTCATATAAAAGTTATCATATAAAAGTCACCCTCAGGTCCTTCAGTTCACGTCTTTTGAAGTGAAAAGCTGCATATTTGTAAGAAACGAATTCATCAAGATGTTTTTTTTTTTACTTCAAACCGTAATTTCCGACCAAGATACAAATTCTTCCTCCAGTAAAAAGTCAATGTTGTCCTCTCCCATCAAAATCCACCAACATAATTGATTGGAACTGTTTTGGACTGTTTTTGCTTGTAAATGGTGCTTGATCTGTGCACATTTCTCTCCTCATTCAGACGAGACCACTGGAAAACGCAATAGTATGTATAGAGGATTTGTATTTTAGCCTGAAGCAGCAGTTGAAGTTAAAAATGTCTTAATGATGGATTTGTTTCTTACAAACACACAGCTTTTCCCTTCACAAGATGTTAACTGATGGACTGCAGTCATGTGGATTACTTCTGGATTATTAATTTTTGATTATTGATTTTTATCAGCTGTTTGAACTCTCATTCTGACAGGCCCAATCACTGCAGAAGATCCATAGGTGAGCAAATTATGTAAGGCTACATTTCTCTACATTTTTTCAGACGAGGAAACAAACTCATCTACATTATGAGGAAGTTTTTGGGGTGAACTTTTCCTTTAATATAACCACGTACTACATAGGCCCACCAATATAGGAACTGATTGCATGTTATATGCTAAAAGAGGAAATTGTAATTTCCCTTTTTAGCATATAACATGTTAATCAGTTGGAACAAACACTGGGCCAAATATTGGAGTATTACGTAAAAATTAAGACAATGTAACACTCATTTTTGGGTCATTTTTTTCCTCACAAGTGAGTCTAAAGTAGAGTGCTTTAATAAAACATATCAGAGCCTTGTAAACAATGGAGACAGATGAATCTGGCCCCTTATTTATCTAATGAGCTATTGAGAATCTAAAATGTCAGGACAAAAGTGCAGTTTTGCTGTTTAACTCTCTTTTGGATGCAGGGGTTAGGCCACCATGGCTTCAATGCCAGTACTAGCTCTCTGTGGTGCAATGGACTGTGGCTTTCTCCCATGCTTTGTTGGCTTTGGCATCCACCCTAGTTTCTCTGCCTCATCTGAGCCTGGCAATCTGGTGCAAGCCAAAAAAGGAAAGTGCAGACCTACTGTGCCCTTTGGCATTTTTTTGTATATGTGTGTGTTTTATATTCAGTTTTATCAGAACAAATAAAAATAGAATTGACTTTTATGGTTGCTGTTTGGAAATGTTATTTAGCAGATGCTTTTTATCTAAAGTGAATTAAACTTCTTACAGGTGCCCATGCATCTATTTATCTATTATTGTTTTAAGTGAAAGTACCAGGCATATGGGTTGTTAAAGGGTCTTGAATAGTAGAAAGGCTTTGTTTGATGCTCAGTGATTTTGATTCACAGTTTAAATGATTATTTCGTATTTTTATGATCATGAATCAATATGTTACCTGAATAAAACTTAGAAAGGAAGAATAATCTGACACACAAAAAAAGATCAGTTTAATTATCTGTTTATCTTTTCCTGTTAAATCAAATCATTTGACTCAAAGCCGCAATGTTCAGAGGAATCTGAGCTTTTAAATAGAACACACTGTTATTGTTCACATTGCTCATGCTGGGATGACAAATGAGCTGTCACTATAATAAGTGAGATATGACTGGACATTTAATCATAAGCAATCAGAGAAAAAGAATGCAGAGAATTTTTTAAGGGACCTGTCTATTTCCCTCTTGGTATTGTAAAGGTTTTTCCCCATGTCTAGAAAGGATTTCCTATTTTGATTGACTTTAAAGGCACGGGGAATTTCATAAGTGGACTTTGACTTCTCAGAATGTTTTGATCATAAAAAGCCAAAAAGTTGAAGACAGTCTAATGAGGGCTTTGTGCTGTATTTAACTAAAAAAAACTAAGATTGGAAATGCTGTTTTGAGTTAACTGATATCTTTTGTGTTCATTTATCTTCTGTGACTTTTTTTTCTGTCTTTAACTCTTTCTCACAAAGGCTACTATATCAGGCATGACTTGAGAATGACAGTTTACAACATGTTTAACTTTACACCCATATATTACAATTCATCTCTAAAAAGGGTAAAATGCACTTTCCTTTTGAAGCAGAACTATTACACTCAGATCTTTAAGTTGAGCATGTCTGCACCTGCCTATCCTTAAAAACTAACACACTTCACTGACTTTGCCAGCAAGTTAGTAACTTTGTGTAGCTCTGTGTTAGAAATAACAGCCTCTTTGTTCTCACGTGTTCATTAGTTTTTCATCCTTGTATTTCCCAAGAATAAAGCATCACACAACAATCGACTTTCAGCTACGTAGACAATATAACAAGTAGATTCCATTTAGTTAAATAAAGGCATTTATTGACAAGAAACAATGATGTCATCAGTGTGGTTATGATTTCCATCTGACCATCAAGTGGCATAAAGTGCTATTTAAAGTGCTACTTAAACTCAAGTCTACTTTAAAGGCAATGTTTTATAATGTATTCCCCAGAGACATGAAATACAGCACTCTTTGGGGAAAACTGATATTTGAACTTCAGAATGGCATTTTGTACACTGTGCCAAAGTGAAATCCATTAGGTATATCAGGGTATGAAAAGAGCAACTTTTGCTCTCTTTCTGTTTAAGTCCAATCCATCTATCTTTTTTCTTAGAAAGGAAGGCTCTCACAGAGAAAGGCAAAATGTGCTTCCGTGCATCCATTTAATGTTCTCAGGGTACGGATTTTGGAGTTAGGGCTTGAGCTATGTTCACATGACTCAATACATGTAGGCCTATGTATGTAACGTTACGTTTCAACAGTTTTAAAAACTGCAAACAACATTTCCGTAATCACAAAAATTACAAGTCAGAGCTGCTGCAATCGATGCTAGCCAACAAAATGCACGTTTTAGCCTTTGGGGTAACCATAGCAAAATTTTGCTGCGCTTTATCGGCAAAACTCGGTATTTTTTACATTACACATATGCTATAACAACTATGTCACAAAACTATGTTTTAAGATGCGATGAGACGTAAAGCTTAGAACCTCAACAGTTCGCTCATTTAAACTTACTTAGAATTAATAGTCAACCTCAAATTCTAGTTTGGCCAAATCACGTGATTAATTCCTTGCCTGCGGTGGGTTTGTCATAGGCTCTGACGTCATTAGGGATCCGAGTATGACAACTTTACAGCAGCAGTATCAAGGTGTGTGTGTGTGTGTGTGTGTGTGTGTGTGTGTGTGCTGCTCTAAATGAATGGATCCTGCTCGCGTATGGACGATTTTTCAAGAAACATCTAATTCTGGATTCAATGCATTTATCACGCGGGATCAGTGATGACTTGGCTTCTGATGTGGGTTATACTATTTGCTTGTGTACCACAGGTAAGAAATATATTTATTTATTTATTTATTTATTTATGTCTATTCATTTTATTACAGTATCTGAATTATTAGATTAAATTAATGCATTAGTAAAACGCCACGCTTAGTTTAGACTAATTTAAAACAGTTTAGAAGACAGTTTAACATGCGGTGGAAAGCTGTATCTTTGACCTAAAATGCTATTTTTAATGATTAATAGCCTATTTGCTTTTGCATTAACATACTGTAAAAGGTTGCTTGGTGCCTGCACATAAAATTTTCAAGTGAAAATTTGTATGTTGTGTAAAATTAAAATAAAACAAACCACATAATGAAATAGAGCATTTCAAAATCCAATTCTTCAAGTATATTGTACTCTTTAGCAAAGTGAAAATGAGACGCCTTATCAGAGGTTTGTTATGTAACAGCATTTGCATCAGTGCATCTAATTTGCATCTAATCCCCCTCTTTTCCACATTAAATTCTTACCATATCTTGATTCATTCAAATTTAAATGCGCTATAGATGATAATTTAATTATATGTGGCAAGCATTCAATGACCTCATGTTGCACGCATTTTAAGGAATGCAATTTCTTAACAACAAATTTCATGTGTGAGAATATACTGCCGCCCTGTGGACTGAAATTAACATGTTTGTCAAAATGCATATTTAGTATTCAGACTCGTAATATCCTTTATTGGTTTGATTCACTGGAAATTCTTTAAAACTGAGTTCCCTTCATTATGTCTTTGAACAAGACAGCCACCCTCTTTGATACTTAGAACTGTCACCCAGTGAGCGTTCTTAACCTGCCTTAAAGGTGTCCTATTATGCGTTTTCACTTTTTCAACTTTAGTTAGTCTGTAATGTTGTTGTTTGAGCATAAAAAAGATCTGCAAAGTTACAAAGCTCAAAGTCCACTTCAAAAGGAGATATTTTATTTAACAGAAATCACTTTTCAAAAACTACAATGAACGACTCGTTTGGACTACATCGCATATTTTCCGGGATTTGTGATATCACAAATACAGACGAATGGGACGAGACCTGGTTGAGCTGCACTAGAGAAGGCAACAAGTGTTATCACTATGTCGGAGACACGGAGTATGTGCCTGTAAGTGTCCTTGTACTAACACAGCCTTCTTATTAACACTGTGTCTTAGATTAGATTACGATGGAGATTTAAAGGGTGGATTAAGGTGGCGGAACCCAGATAAACCAAGCCAGGGGATTCTGAGCAGAATTATAATACATTCTGCTCACCTTTTTAGCATATGTTTTCACACAGCACATCACATACTTTTCTTGGTATTGTATCCAGTATGTATTTGATGAACTTGACTCGTTTTGCTCTTTGTTGCTATCCAGATCTGCCAGGCACTGGCTGTGAGCACAATGGTGTGATCTATCGCAATGGCCAGAGCTTCCAGCCCAATTGCAAATACCAGTGTTTGTGTGTGAATGGGGCGATCGGATGTGTCTCGCTGTGTAATGAGTCTCAGCCCCCCAGGGTTTGGTGCCAGAACCCACGGCGAGTTAAACTCCCCGGCCGTTGCTGTGAGCAGTGGATCTGTGATGAGTCCAGGAGGGGACGCAAGACAGCACCAAGACACACAATGGCTGGTATAAGCTCCGGCGTCTCACAAACTTCCCACAAAATATCTGGAAACTCATTCTGGGCAGATAATTAGTTGATAATGGTTGGAACATGGGATTTGTGTTGTCTTCTTTTGCTTGCAGTCATGTTATTTGCATCATGCACGTGAAAACTGATTCTAAACAAGGCTGAACAGTTTTAGACAGTAGTTTATAACCTTTATATAAAAATGTTACTTCACAGCTCTGTATTAAAACTAGAAAGAAACTGATCCTTCTACTCAAAGATAGACAATTAACAAATATTATTGTCAGAATTTCCAGACCTGTAAAACTCATGGAAATGTCTATATTAGCCTACATATGCATTCTGTAGTCATGATAAGTTTATATTATATTATATAAAAATGTAAATGTACAAAAGTTTGGGATTGGTAAGATTTTGTAATGTTACACTACACTACACACGCACAAGATTTTTTAATGTTTTTGTCTCTTACATTCATCAAGGCTGCATTTATTCAAACAAAAGTACAGTAAAAAATAGTAATACTGTGAAATATTACAATTTAGAATAGCTCTGTTTTATTGTAATATATTTTAAAATGTAATTTATTCCTGTGATGGCAAAGCTACATTTTCAGCATCATTACTTCAGTCTTCAGTGTCACGTGATCCTTCAGAAATCACTCTAATATGCTTATTTGCTGCTCAAGAAACATTTCTTTTTTTATTATCAATGTTAAAAGCAGGAAACGGTGATATTTTCTGAAACTCAGAAATGAAGAAAGCATTCATTGTCTTTGCATTCTTACAGCCCTGTCTAGTGTAAAGGACAACCGGCACAAGAACTGTGTGACCCAAACAACCTCCTGGAGTCCCTGCTCAAAGACCTGCGGCCGTGGAGTGTCTTTACGCATTACTAACAACAACAAGCAGTGCCAGATGGTCAAAGAAAGCAGACTCTGCAACATCCGGCCATGCAAAGTGGACATCACAAAGCACATCAAGGTATATCAAGAACATAAACATCGGATTCAATGTAATATTAATTTTGCATTTGAGAGTGACATGAATGACTGTAGTGTATAAAAGGATATAAATAAATTTTGACCCTGTGCCTTTTTGGCCCTTTTTTCATTTCTCCATAAGCCTGGAAAGAAGTGCTTGAACATCTACAGGGAGGAAAAGCCACACAACTTCACTATCTCAGGCTGCACCAGTACAAACACTTACTGGCCCAAGTACTGTGGAGTGTGTATAGATGAGCGGTGCTGCATCCCTTACAAATCTAAGACTGTTGAGGTCGACTTTCAGTGCCCGAACGGATCCGGCTTCAGCTGGCGGGTCATGTGGATTAACGCCTGCTTCTGCAACCTGAGCTGTAAAAACCCTAATGACATATTTACAGGTCTAGAACAGTACCATGAGAAAGTTGAGGTTGGAAACTGAATGTATGAGACCTTGCAGAAAAGTCAATAGAAAGATTTGGGTGAAAGCCATAGATTTTTTATTTTTTTTTCTGAGCAAGAGTTATTATTTAATTGACCATCATCTTTGGCCTTTTTTATTATACAAGACTTTTTCCTATTGGAAAAACTGAAATAAACCAATATATCCTAATATATTCTATTTTAAGACTATGTGGCCTATTGCAACCAAATTGTTCATATGCTGTGAGTTATTTCAACCAAGATTATCAAATTTTTTGTCATATTGTGACAAATAAATCCTTTTGTACAAATGATGTAACTATAGGTATGTAAAAAGACAATATCATATTGACTTCTGTAGTTAAAATCTTTAATTTATACAAAGTCTATATAAAAAAGAAATGTATATTGCTTTTATGTATTGATAATTACGTTTTTGTAATGTCATGCCTTTTCCACATTTATGCTCTTAAATGACACTAGTTCTTGGAGTGAGTTTTGCCTTATAAAGTTTGGTTTTCCACGTACTGTAACGTTTTGTATAGACACAGTTCTCATTGAATTATCTAATAAACACACAAAAAAGGTTAAGTAACCAGCTTTTTATTTTCCTTTTTTTTTTTTTTAATAAATACAAACGGTTATTCCATTAAAAATGCAGTGCATCAGATTGTTTTACATCTTTACAAAGCAGGGTGCCTTACCAAGCTGCAAGCATTTGTTTTAGTGTGTGTGAAAGAGCAGGTGAGTTGCTTATATTATCTTTTTCTGAGCGATCCTTCGTTTTACTCTTTCAAAGCCTTGAGAAAAGAAGCATCCAGTCCAAGTAGAGGATTCCATGGCACATTTTGTTCTGTTGTGCTTGATTGCATAGAAATCATCATCATCATTACAAACAAAAAACAACAAAAATATCACTCATATACAGTCATTTTCCTGTATTCGTATGTCTACAAATTGGTTTTGTTGAATTTAAAATAAAGATTTTTTTCAAACATATGATCCTGTAAAAATCATTTAAAATCACTTTCGAGAGCATCAATCACTGAGTTACAAATGTAACCCAAAATAATGGGACACTCCCGACAAGGAAAATGCAAATAAACACATTATGAGCTTATTCCTTAGTTTTATAAGGTAGGCTAGCATCATGAAAAAATACCACCGTCTCTACTCTGTGGTCAACCAATCCCTTTTCCATTCAATAAGGTCTACTTCAACATAAACAGATTATACACTTAAATATGCACTTAATCTAGCATATAAAAGTGGTATAATAACTTGACAAAAGAAAATTAATTGCAGACTAGAGATCAACATAAATGTACAAATGTGCCCTTCTCAGTGCCTAGCTTACTTGGATAATGACCATCAAAATGTCTCTGTGCTGCATTGCCTCTAACAACAACAACAACATCAAGACAGCCATTGCGCAGGGTGCAAAAAAAAAGAAATAACTCCATCATCCTGTCCTTCATCCACTCTATCCACTCCTTCCTCAGCATTTCCCCAGGAAATATAGTCTTAAACACAAGACACTTTGGCATAAATGCCCTCTGACAAATAAAATGGTGCAAGACCCCTGAGGGAAACAGCACAGCGGCATGCGGCGGTCCTGTTGCGTGTGTAGTTAGTGGCAGCGCAGCACAGTCAGAACAGAAAGGTTAATGCATATGTGAGATGGACCGGAGACAAGGTCACCAGTCTAACAGGACACTTCGGTGGACTTGGGAGCCTGGTCCACAGAACTGTCCATGTTGTCAGTGTGCGAATGTGTGCGTTGGTTGTCTGAGGTGTGGGCTCGGGCACGGCCCTCGTTGGTGTGGGAGCGACTGCGGTTGCCCTCGTTAGTGTGCGACCTGCTGCGGTTGCCGTCAAAGGAAGTGACGCTGGAGCCGGATGCTGTGCGGGAACGGACCAGGCGGGTCATGCTGGCAGAGGGCACTAAGAAACAGAGGAAGAAAGATTAGGATACTTATTTTAAAGCTTTTTACATTTGCTGTGTATGTTTTAAATGTATTTTTAGTGTATTTTGCTACAATACTTGATATGACTATGTGCACTACTGTTCAAAAAATTGGGGTTGGTAAGATTTTTTTAATGTTTTTGAAAGAGTCCCTTATGCTCACCAAGGCTGCATTTATTCAAACAAAAAAATACAGTAAAAACAGTAATACTGTGAAATATTATCACAATTTAAAATAACTGTTTCTATTTGAATATATTTTAAAATGTAATTTATTCCTGTGATGCAAAGCTGCATTTTCAGCAGGCATTACTTAAAGTTTTCAGTGTCACATGATCCTTCAGAAATCTCTCTAATATGCTGATTTGGTGCTCAAGAAGCATTTCTTATTTTGACAACAGTTGTGCTACTTAATATTTTTGTACACTTTTTTTCTGAATTCTTTGATGAATAGAAAGTTCCAAAGAACAGCAGTTTTTGCAGTTGTTTATAAATTAGACATTTTGCTTTAAGAAAAAGTTCAAGTTGAGCAAGTCAGGTTGAAAATTATATCACGCCACTAGAGGGCAGCACAGCCCAGTCATATATCTTGCTAGTATTCGCTAACGTTATGTTAATTTTACATGAACGAAGGAGTTCAGGCAATGCACTGTGGGCATTCCTTATGAAGCCACAGATGTATGGTTAAACAGAGAGTATACTGAACAAAAAGACAATATCAGTACTTACTGTAACCCATTCCTTGAATGAAGTACTTGAAAGCCTCTGTTAGCTTCCCAGGCTAAGGAGACAATAAAAGCAGAAATCAGTTTATTTGACTACAAAAACAGCTAATCAGGTCAAGGTGGAAAACAGATTTGCCTAAGTATATGTTGTGAAACCAGATGGATTCATTTATTCCTGTGATGCAAAGCTGCATTTTCAGCAGGCATTACTTAAAGTTTTCAGTGTCACATGATCCTTCAGAAATCTCTCTAATATGCTGATTTGGTGCTCAAGAAGCATTTCTTATTTTGACAACAGTTGTGCTACTTAATATTTTTGTACACTTTTTTTCTGAATTCTTTGATGAATAGAAAGTTCCAAAGAACAGCAGTTTTTGCAGTTGTTTATAAATTAGACATTTTGCTTTAAGAAAAAGTTCAAGTTGAGCAAGTCAGGTTGAAAATTAAATCTCACCACTAGAGGGCAGCACAGTCCAGTCATATTTATTGCTATTTGCTAATGTTATATGTTAATTTTACGTGAACGAAGGAGTTCAGGCAATGTACCATGAGTATTCCTTATAAAGACAAAGCTGTATGGTCAAATAGAGACTATATTAAACAAAAAGACAATATCAATACTTACTGTAACCCATGCCCTGAATGAAGTACTTGAAAGCCTCTGTTAGCTTCCCAGGCTAAGGAGACAATAAAAGCAGAAATCAGTTTATTTGACTACAAAAACAGCTAATCAGGTCAAGGTGGAAAACAGATTTGCCTAAGTATATGTTGTGAAACCAGATGGATTCTAACAGCTGGTAGAAGCAGGTGGCGAGCAGAGTATTAGAACTGAGAACTATATGCCATCGCTGTCCGTAATGAGATTATGGCGCACTTCATCCCTCATGATCATCCTGTGCCTTGAGCAAACTTGTAAATGAATCTGAATGGTCATAAAGGTTATAAATACACACCTGGTCGACCTGGGGCAAGCCTCCACAGTCAGCCATCTGAAGAAAGAGAAGGGACATAAAAATGTTACTTAAAATGCATGAAAAACAAATGCGTCACTGCTTGTTTCTCATTTCTGTTTCTGCCATTCACACAGGTGTCTAAAACACCTAGCGCTCCATTAACTCCACTGGTTTTAAAGTTATTTTTACTTATCGGTGATTAATAGGCCATTTCAGACGCCATAAACCTAATTCTTAGTCCACCTGAGGGCGAGCTGTGGAAAATTAGGTCAGCAGAGGTAGGGTTCAGCCCTGGAGCTGGCCAGCGTGGACCGCTTCTGCACTACCTGGGTAAATTAAGTCACTAGATAATGCGGAGCTATCAGAATCTTATCAGTGCTTGACTTTTCCATATGGGCTATAAATACATGCCAGCTTCAATGGAGTCCACTCACCTTAAGCAGTGTGGTTTTGGTCGGGTCCAGCTTTGTGTTGCACTCAACCTGTACAGAAAACAGACGTGTTAAACCACTAAATACACATGCAGCAGATATGAAGTGTGGAGCAACAGTGTGCAAGATTAAAGATTTTAAATAAAAAATACTTATAAAATGTCTAGCAATAATAATGAAGTGAATCAGTCCTAAATTAAGCTTAAACCTACCACAACATCCACTGCTGGGGAACTGTCTCCAACTACCAGGAGTGCAGGACACCTGAAAACAGAGCGACAAAGTCATTACTACAGGAAATTCGTCCCCCATTGTCTAGAGTATTTTTTGGGACAATTTTAGACTTACTTTAGAGTTCTGACATTGACATGGCCACCAGATACAGGCCTCTCGATTTCCAGGTCTCTTCGGCTGTGAAGTGGATGAAAATATTAATTAAATGTTATATCAACACTAAAATAACTATCAAGATGTTTTAGTAGCGGTGTTGTGTTTACCTGTTGTAGGACTTGACAAAGAGTTGCAGATTGAACTGGTTCATGTCATTCACAATGTGGTGACGGTATCTGCCAATGAGGTCATGGTTCTGCTGGATTTCCTCCTGGAGAAATAATAAGAAATAATAAGTATAAATTCATCCATTCAAAAATTATCTAGAATGGGTCAAACATTGACTAACCTTTCCAAACAGGTGAGATATGATCATGTCAGGCATGGCGTGAGTCCAACCAGAGATCTGTAATTCAAGAAAAATGAGCCCATGACAGACACAAAAGCTTGAAACACTATATAAATGATGAATATTACATAAATTATAATCACAAAGTGGTAAGCACTCACTTTGTGTGCTGCCCAGTCCATCCAGCCCTCAGCGCATGGGTTGATGTTTATCAGCACAAGGCCTTCCGCCATAGCAGGGTGATCCAACTATAAAAGGAAACAGTATTTGTAAACCACATCTGAACACATCTAAACCCTAATTTATTAAATAACGAACATGCAAGTCAAGCTGATTTTTTTTTTTTTACAAGGGA